ATCGCCAAATGAAATTAACAATTGTGTTCTTAAAGAAATTCTATAAAAAGTTTTAAATAAACAACCTACTTCTACAACTGCTTCTTGAAGAACTTGGCTCATTGATTAAAAATATTGTTTTAATTTTACAGTACTAACTTTACTTCTACTTTCATTATTGCTATGACCCTCTTTCATTACATTTTACAACTTCATGCTAAATTTGAGGAATTTAAGTTGTTTTGTGGTTGAATACTGACATTTAGAAATGTGTACATAAAAAAAAATAATATTTAGAGGTTATTAACAATGGAATGATAATATATGATGAATTTCTCTTAATTTCTTTTATAAAAGGTTTTGGGTTCATGCGCACTACTGGTTCATTTTTTAAATAGTCTGTGCGGACTACTTATAAAAGACCGTGTGGAGGCTTTTTAATGTAGGAGGCGTTGGTCCGGAGCAGTTGGCATCTCTGATATAGACTCAAATATTGGCGAGTTAAGGTAAATTCTTTAAGGGAATATTTGAAAAATAACATTTTTTAGTCAAATTGTCATTATCGTTTATTTTTTTTAAATCTCTTGTACCCGGGAGCTATGTCAAAGCTGGATTTTGGAATTTTGACTTCAAGTTTTTGCCGGCTACTGAGGTTGTTTTAACAAAAATAAACACCGGTAAACTTATCACTAAATATATACGGACCGCATAGCGTTAATAAGGGTTGCAGAGATGCCTACTTGCTCCGGAGAGCTGATAAATATTTTCGAGTGGTACTCTTGTAATGTATGATTCTTGGTTTGGTTAATTTGATTTATAAAGTTATCTGTCGCCACTGTTTTTAAATAATACAAAGGCTTATGCCATACGCCACTATTTTTTTACAGTTAAAGCATTTAAATATGATAAAATATGATCATGATAAAATAACTTATTTCTGGCAAAGAATTCTTTTCATTATATTAGCCACCATAAAATCAATTAAGCACAATGTTAAATATATTCAATATTGAGTGAATCATTCAATTTTTTAAATTAATTATTACTTTACACAATTAGGTTAAAAAATTATTCAAAATTATAAATAATTATCTTAACTATTATTTAAGAAGATTATTTCGCTTGCAAAATTCATAAGAGTTGCTCATGAGAATGCATGAATCCCTCCCGCCGAATCCAGCTTAGTATTCGAAACCGCAAGTATTTTCTAAAATGATTGGCGCTTTCATACGCTTCGGATCGATGGTATGTCGGAATAGATTGCGGTTGAATGAATTATAAAAACATTGAATAGAACAATGTGAAAACTACGCTTTTTGCGTAATTCGAGGCAAAAATTGAAATGGTAAAGAAAAAAAATCTCATTTTGGAAAAGAGAAAATCAAGCACTTTTTAAAAACACCCAATGAAAAAAGCACCTTTAAGCACTTTTTGAAAACGCTACGCACCCTGTAATCGCTTTCCTCGTACCACTTCCTGCAAAAAAGGAAAAAAAATTGTAAATTACGTTTATACTAAATGGAGCATCAAGTACAGGTGTTGCTCAAAATAATAAACATTTCTATCCTAATTCTATGTAATCAATCTCTCTGTATAGCAGCAAATATTTTGGAAGGCTTTGCATGGCAAAACTGTTGACCCAATTTGAAAGATTTACTCTTGAAGCCTTGGGAAATTGTATCATTGCTTATGCAAAGCTCGAATTTACTGAAAATAGGAGAGAAAGTAAACTTCCTTTTAGCTTTAATGCCACCAATTTTTAAAATTTTAATGGTATTAAAAGAGGAAAATTATAGTAGCTTCCTAGAATTATAGTAGTATTAAAAGTGAAAGGAGTTTTAAACTTCTTGAGCTCATTCTGCTCAATGCAAATTTTGCATGAGTAAAGGAAACATCATATCTATCATGCCTCAAACATGATTCTTCAATTTTTCCCAAGAGTTTTACCACGTAAAATCTTCCAACATTTTCTGCTTAAAAAAATATTGTTTATATAGAATCAGCACAGAATTGTCTCCAATATTTTGATCAGTTCCTGTATTTATCTCCAAAATAATTCAATTTAAGCATCCGATGTCCTAGAAAAGAAATCAGTTTATAACCTAGATGAGGCATTTGATATCGCATACATACACACCATTACATTTGTTATATCACATTTTATTTTATTAAATCGTGAACAATCAGTATCCATTGCATTTTATAATTTCAAAAGATTAAATCTTCATTCAAGATTCACTAAATATAGAGTTTTTAACTCTTTTATGTAAATTAATAAACAGGACTAATCAATGCTTTTCCATTGAAAGCGTTGAGGATATTATTTGCTGCCATTTCCGCCATCAGAATGCGAACAGAAACCTCCGCGCTTGCAACGTGAGGTAGAAGAGCTGGAAAATAAAAATTAGTTAATTAGTTGAACTGTGTAATACCAGAACTCTAAACACTAAAATGGTTCCTTAACATGTTGAGCGCCACGACAGCCATCGGTGGCTGACACTGGACTTTCCATTTAGGCCGCGTCAACCATCGGTGGCTGACACTGAAATTACATTTAGGCCGCGTCAAACATCGGTGGCTGACACTGAAATTACATTTAGGCCGCGTCAACCACCGGTGACTGACAGTGAAATTACATTAAAGTTGCGTCTGCCACCGCTTGCTGACACTGACCTTTCACGTAGGCCGCGAAAAACAGCTGGCTGACAGCGTATAACATGATCTAGAACTATAAAATTTACACTCTTTTTTGGAATTTCAGAAAATTTATTCAAAATTTACTTAATTATTACGATTCTTGGTTTAATAAATTCAATTTAGTAGATTTTTATCCACCACTATTTTTAAACAATTCGTAGGTATATATAAATAACCACTTTTTTCAGGTATGTCATGCTAAACCTTTTATAAACTAGAAAAATCTGTCTATATTTGCAAATTTAGTTTGTAGTTATTTACCGTGTGGCCAGTCGAGCAAGCCATGTAACATTAGCGTGGCATTCAATAAGTGAAAAAATTAATTTCCTGTAAGCATTAGAGTAAATTTACAGCCATAAAGAGACTGCATTTTCACATTTACAACCCAATACAATATTTATAAATTTAAGTCCTCTCTAATCGTAAAAATATTGTTTTAATATGTTTCATAACAATGAACTATAACTGAAACTAAATATGAAAGTATAACATATTTTCACCCGTGTCAAAAAAAATTTTGAGCTGATAAGTAACCAAAATATTTCATTTGTATAAGTGACAGATTATGAGAATGTTTTTAAGGCCAAAGTAAAGCAAATTTCTGGAAATTTAAATGTCCATATTTGGAAAAGATATATTCTGTAACTATATTTTCCCCAAGAAGTTGTTTTTCAAACTTACCAAATGACTGCCTTTTGACACATATAATCAATTAGTGATGAAATTTCGTAAATTTTCGATATTTATGCAGTGTTTACTTCTATAACCAACACAAATTTGAAAAACCATGAAAATGTTTTCGAATTGCGCAATCATTCTCAATTTCATGTTCACAAGAGACTATGTTAGGTCATTAATTTGAAGGAAAAAGTAGGTCTGTAAAAACATCTGGACATATAAAATTTAAACATTTATAAGAAATGCATTGTAGGCACGCTTTTTATTTAGAACATCGCTTAAATTGTACGCTTAAGAAAATGGGCATAGCCTGACATATGCATTAAAAGAATGGATTTAATTCAATATGCGTGTTTAAGGAAAGAAACACAGCATTTCAGTTCTTAAACTATTGTTATGACTTTATTTCAAAAGAACTAACAAGTTAATATTGAATAATCATCTTGCTTTCTTATTTGAAATTTTTAAAATTTGACATATTAATGTATGGTATGGTACGCGTTTCTTCCAAAAGTATCTTTCGCATTTAAAGTTTCTATTCATTTTTTAAGATGGGTAAGGCTCATTTTGAGCTATATCTTTATTTCAAACGCTCATACCTGTATACTCAAATACGCAAATTGAACTATGTCCAAATTAAAAAAATTTCTAGCAAAATGGTAAGAGTCGCAATGGTTATGGGGATAGAATGAAGTGCCTCAGGTTCGAATCCCAGCGGTTGCTGGTTGATACGAATTCTGCTCCCCGATTGCACCGACCACAGTGCCGACGCAAGTTGTAGGTGGATCATTGGCATCCACTTCCTGTTTAGTTAACGGTGGAAAGTTATCGTGGTTTTCCTCTCCACGTGACGCAAATGCTGGTTATTTGAAAGCCATCCACGAAGGCTAGTTTCTACCTATGCATGATCCATGAGTTTCCTTGTCCTTTGGGGTTGGGTTCAAAATTAAAATTCAATGAAGTTGAACATTGAGAATCATATACTCAGAAATGGGTCAATTGCTCAATACCGGTTATAAAACAAAATGATAAAGATTTTCGTGTTACTTTTATTCTATTTAAATTAGAAAAAAGAAAACCTTAAAAAGTCCACTTGCTTCAATAGAGCCGGCTAGCGGCTAAGCTCATCTGAAACAACGTATCCATTAAAGTTAAAATTCCCTAGATAAACTTTCGCTGAGAACTTACAACAAAAAAGAGATTAGACAAGTATAGTAAAACCATTTCTTTCACGTTGGTAGGAAGAGCAAATTTCCATTGCTACCTCGCGTTACACGTTTTACAAGGGTTGGACAAAATTATAGAAACGCTTCTATACCAACTTTATGTAAACAATTTCTCTTTTAATAGCAAATGTTTTGTAAAATTTTGCATGACAACACTGTTAGCACAGTTTGAAAGATCATGCTTGAAGCGTTTAGAAATGGTGCTATTTTCAGCAGTGCGAAATTAGGATCGCGAAAATGAGAAGTTAATAACATATTTAGCAGCTTTAATGCCAGTAATTCTAAAATCTTTCTAAAGGATTATACTATTTATGTCAGAAAGATTTTTTTAATTATATTGGTATTGAAAAAGGAAATAGATTTAAAATTCTTTTGGTCGATGCAAATTTTGCATGGGTAAAAAGGACACAATTTCTGAAAGCTTCAAGCATGATCTTTCAAATTATGGTAACTGTTTCGCCATATAAAATCCTCCAAAACATTTGCTGCTAAAAGAAAATTTTTTTACATAGAGTTAGTATATAAGTGTTTCCATAATTTTCCCATCCTCTGTTTGTTATAACTGTAATACTTCATGGTAAGCATGAATTTTTTACTCCATCCGAAAATATACTATGGATGAAATGGCTTTAAAAATCTTTTCTCTTTTTAGGGTAAGGTTTCCTGCGGGACTTTTTCTCGTGACCGTAAGTCGATGCAACACTTACCGATGTTTGGCAAAGTTGTTAATTTATGATCTTTAGGCAACGGTTCTGGTACCATAACATCAAGACCGGCAGCCTTGATCTGTCCACTTTTCAATGCGTCATATAAGTCATCCTGGTTAACAACACCACCTCTGAAAAATAAAGAAATGCAATTTTTTTTCTATTTTGTTTTGTACTTACATACATTATAGTTTAAAATGAATCAATTTTTTTTAAACTTATTTTTAAATAGTTTGTTTTAAAGTATTTAGTTAACATTAAAATCTATCGATAAAGATGTTTATAGCTTAGGGAGATAAAGATGTTTATAGCTTCCATTGTAATTTTTTTCCAACACTGAAAAACAATACAGAATGTATTAATTCTCTGAATGATAAGCAAATCATGAAGCAACTTTGTCCAATCTTTTAATTTTCATATCACGAAGACTAGTGAACAACTCGACCTCTCTTTGTTGAAATATTTCTGTCAGATCGAGTCGACAATATGGGTCCTTANGCTGAGAACTTACAACAAAAAAGAGATTAGACAAGTATAGTAAAACCATTTCTTTCACGTTGGTAGGAAGAGCAAATTTCCATTGCTACCTCGCGTTACACGTTTTACAAGGGTTGGACAAAATTATAGAAACGCTTCTATACCAACTTTATGTAAACAATTTCTCTTTTAATAGCAAATGTTTTGTAAAATTTTGCATGACAACACTGTTAGCACAGTTTGAAAGATCATGCTTGAAGCGTTTAGAAATGGTGCTATTTCTAGCAGTGCGAAATTAGGATCGCGAAAATGAGAAGTTAATAACATATTTAGCAGCTTTAATGCCAGTAATTCTAAAATCTTTCTAAAGGATTATACTATTTATGTCAGAAAGATTTTTTTAATTATATTGGTATTGAAAAAGGAAATAGATTTAAAATTCTTTTGGTCGATGCAAATTTTGCATGGGTAAAAAGGACACAATTTCTGAAAGCTTCAAGCATGATCTTTCAAATTATGGTAACTGTTTCGCCATATAAAATCCTCCAAAACATTTGCTGCTAAAAGAAAATTTTTTTACATAGAGTTAGTATATAAGTGTTTCCATAATTTTCCCACCCTCTGTTCGTTATAACTGTAATACTTCATGGTAAGCATGAATTTTTTACTCCATCCGAAAATATACTATGGATGAAATGGCTTTAAAAATCTTTTCTCTTTTTAGGGTAAGGTTTCCTGCGGGACTTTTTCTCGTGACCGTAAGTCGATGCAACACTTACCGATGTTTGGCAAAGTTGTTAATTTATGATCTTTAGGCAACGGTTCTGGTACCATAACATCAAGACCGGCAGCCTTGATTTGTCCACTTTTCAATGCGTCATATAAATCATCCTGGTTAACAACTCCACCTCTGAAAAATATAAAATTCTTTCAATAAAATTAAAAAAATTTTCTATTTTCTATTTTGTTTTGTACTTACATACATTATAGTTTAAAATGAATCAATTTTTTAAAACTTATTTTTAAATAGTTTATTTTAAAGTGTTTAGTTAACAATAAAATATATCGATAAAGATGTTTATAGCTTAGGGAGATAAAGATGTTTACAGCTTCCATTGTAGTTTTTTTCCAACACTGTGAAAAACAATACAGAATGTATTAACACGTTCACGCCGGGGTGACCCACCGGTGGGTCACGCTAGATTATCTCATCTTGGCAGCGCACCGGAGTAAAAACTGGTAACAATAAATTTCATTTTTCAGTTTTTTTCCGGGAATAATAAAAATTCATAACTACCAATTGTTTTTAGCGGATGCAATTTTTATATTGAATTGCTTCTTCACCGTGATAAATTTCCTTACAGTGAATTGTTATTGTTGAGAATAGATTAACTCCTCCCGAATATTGTCTAATATTGAAATAGTTCTTCTACCAGTATTTTCTCTTCTCCCGTACTAGTATTTTCACTTTTCCCGGCGTAAACGTGTTAATTCTCTGAATGATAAGCAAATCACGAAGCAACTTTGTCCAACCTTTTAATTTTCATATCACGAAGACTAGAGAACAACTCGACCTCTCTTTGTTGAAATATTTCTGTCAGATCGAGTAGACAATATCATTCTCTTCCAATTTCCATTACTTGGAATCATATAAAATTTTACATTAAGCTGCTCTACTTAAGTTTTTTCAATATCACAGTGTCCCCACACTTAATAGTGCTCAGTATTTGTGATATAGCATCTAAAATGAATACTATATTTTACTGCATTTCAGTGGCCCCCTTCCCCCCAAGCTCTTGGGTGCATTCACCCCCCCCCAAAAAANCCCCCCCCCCAAAAAAAATTATAACTTCCCCCTTCCATGTTAGCTTGTTCGAAATAGTGCTTCGTTGCTTCTTTTATTTATGTACCTTAAAAAAAATTCTCTCGTCTAAATTCCCCCCCCCCAAACAATTCGTTTTATTTAGTGTAAAAATCCCCCCCAAGCTTTAAGTGAGCGCATCGTGCGCCCACCTTCCCCCTGATGGGGGCCCCAGCTGCATTTTCATAGCCGTATGCTCTAAAAATCATTTTCCATATCTGTTAAGGGTATTTTAATCTCCTTATGAAGAATTTATATCTTCCTATGCCAAAAAAGCAACAGTAAAAGTGTTCCAAAATTTGACCAACCAGCTCAGAGGGGTGATAAAAGGCATCCAGAGGATAAAAACTTACCAAAAAACTTGAGTTTACAACCTACTTTGAAAAGGTGAAAAACCCATATAGGTTTCGATTTCTCACTAAGAAACAAATGCAAAAAGTGCTACAAACTTGCTGAATTCTTAAAACTTATTTGATTAACTAAATTGAGGAACAAAATTTTTCTTGTTTTCTGTTGCATGAGAATTTTTTCAGATATCAGATACTTTCTCGTTGCTGATTACAAATCTGCAATCAGTTACTCTTATGCAAGTCAACAATATAGTCTGAAACAGCAATTTTTAAAATTCACTAAAATGAGTAACAAGTGCTAATACATCTTTGCTGAGTAAGGCATTGTAAAAGAAGGCGACAAAACATTTCAACTTATGATGCGATACTTTAAGGCTATATGTTAATGTCTTAATTGTTACAATAAAAGGAGCAGACAATTGCACGATATAACCTTGTACATATATAACCACGTATATAACCTTGTGCATAAACCTTGTACGTTCTTTATTAGCTTGTACACGCACGCAGAAAATTATCTAAACAAAAAATGCCATTTTGAAAAAAAAATCTGAAGCTGTTGGAACAAAACTAAATTCAGATTTGAAATCCCCACACCCAAATTTAGTTAGCTCACGTAATTGTATAAAAGCAACAAATATTTTCCCTCCAATGTTATTCTAGCTTCGTACTAAATGACAGCCATTGACAACGTTGCGCAGTGACTTTAAAAGGATTTCTGGACGAGATCAAAGATGCCGGGAGTGCTTTTGGTGTTTACCGAAGCAACGGCAATCATCACCTCCTACACCAAAGAGCCTCCACACGGTTTTTTAGAGGTAGTCTGCGCAGACTATTTATAGAGTGAACCAGCTGTGGGCATGAACCCGAATTCTTTTTTGAAAGTACTCATACTTATATGTGGTGGTTATCTTAGCATCAGCCCCGCCATGAGCTCTAACCAATTCATCTGGGTGGGAATAAATAATAAGTCGCCGAAGCGCAAATGAATGATGAAAGTTGGGGTTCAGTAACATTTACTGAGTGAAAATTAAAATTAAGTAGCGAGATCAAACAAACAAATTTAAGAGAGAGAGAAGAGGTTTTTGTGGCAGACTGCCACGCCTCCCCCCGAGGTATTACCCCCGAGCTTCTCAGGTGCACAGTAGCCACATAGCCTCAGAGAAATAGGAAAAATACATGATAATAAATGCGCAAAAATATATACAAGTATTTACAACTATTTACAAAATTTACGGGACAAAACTCCATCGGATAGGAAAAAGGCGGTTGCCGAGCTATATTTTATGTTGTCTTTGATGGGCACAAAATCAAAGTTTTTAAAGTAGTTGCAAGTATGACAAGAGGGTGCATCTCTGAAGAAACTTGGACATAGTTCAGCTATGTGTTCATCTATTTTGTTGATTTCTAAATCTCTTCTTAGATCTTTTATTCCCATGGATCTGGGGGCTCCAGTGATGTATCTGAGAAATTTATTTTGAGTAATCTCCAGTTTCTTTTTTTGAGTAGCAGTGGTTGTGCTCCATGCCGGGGCTGCGTAGCTGATGATCGGTCGAATGCATTGGAGGTATAGCGTTCGTTTTGTTTTGAGTGAAAGTTTTGAGTGCAAGTTTTGAGTTATAGTTTAAGACTGGTTTCAGAGCTCTTTTCTTGAAAGTACTTGAGAGAAATTTATCATATATATTTCTGAAATGAATCTGTAGTGGTAGCCAAGTAAATAAGACAAACCAATCATATTCATAAATTAAAAAAATTTTTAGATATATATTTGCTACCACTTTCCTATTTCTACTAGATTTTGTATTAAATGGCTCTTTCGTAAATTGGTTTACCTTCTCAGTGGTCTGATCGGACTATCTATAAAAAACCGCGTGGAGGCTATCAGTTATAGGAGGCGTTGGTCCTGTGCGTCTCATCCACTTCCTTAGGTATGTTCATCGAGTTGAACTGAACAGTATGCTTTACTTCATTGTGGACAGCACATTTTGCAGTAATTTAGAAAGAACGTGTTTGCGACACCATGTTCAATTGTAAGTTTTCATTCTCTAGATATCTTTTATCACTCCTCAGATTTGTTGGTTGAATTTTGGGACACTTTGAAAAATGTCAAACCAGTAAATAATTAACTAATTTAATATTAGTCCAAAATGATGAGACTCTTCCAAGAGTTGTTTGCTTACGTTTTGAAAAACTATAACAACTGCTTTGACAATATTAAGTAAAAAAAAAGTTATCTAAATATAAATAAGTTAGTAATATTTTTCGAAATAGAGATATTCAATGCACGTATTTTTAAGTTAAAAATAATAATATATACAACCTAGAATCTAAAAAGTTTTGTTTAATAAATTTTTTAATGGACATTGAAAAATTATAATCACCTGCTGGTATTTATAAACACAGCCGTAGGCTTCATTAGTTTAAACGCTTTGCTGTTGAAAATCCCCCGTGTTTCGTTGCTAAGATTACACATAGCAACTACATAATCAGATTGCCTTAAAAGATCTTCGAATTCTGTGTAAACAGCTCCCATTTCTTCGGCTGTAATAAAATTTGTTCATGGGCAAAACAATAATAAAATAATTAGTTTTTTTTTTAAAATAGGTTTAATGTTTATTAAATATAATGTATTTGTTTACATAGAGTAAAATCTTCTATTAAGAACTACGCAGGAAGTTTCCAACTAAAATTTAGTTGTTTCGCATGCACTTAAAATCTTGACTACCCAATAGATAGGTCTTACTAAAATATTATTGAATTTTTGTTTTGCGGTAGTGGGTAAAATAATGACATGTTCTTAGACCAAGATTCATGCATTGAAATACCACTGAAACAAACATGACTTGAAAGCTTGGCTAAAAAAGTTAGATTAAGATCTTGATCTGAAACTATGATGGTAGTTTTGTTGTATAAAATTTGCTAGAACATTAGCAACTAAATGAAATTCTATTTCCTTAGAATTAGTATAACTCTGTTAACATCAATTTATACAAATCTTGAAAATTAAAAATGGTGAACTTCCGAAAAAATACTTAAATGTTAACTATGAAAACGTCAGATGCATCAATATGTCTTTTATATACATGTCCTCAATATGTCAATACATCAATATGCAAATCTAGTGTTTCTTCTAAAAATTAAAATGTTTGTTTTGAATGTTGTAAGCTAAGTGGGATGATTATGCTTTTTACATTTTTTTAAAATAGTTGTTTGTGTCCCCACTAGTTATTTAGGGCTATTGCCCGCACTAGTCCAGTCAATAAGTCATGGGATTAGCACGTACAAGTCAAACAATTAATTTTTTTACCTATAGTTACCAATAAAAAGGCAAGTAAAATAAAAAATAGAACTAATTTTGCGTCTAAAAGTACTGTTTTGAGTAAGTAAACTTAACGCTTGCTTTAACTAATGCAGGGGCTGTCAACTACTAATCTTTCTGCAAAATCTTTCATTGAGGCGAAGATAAGCAAAACCTCTCAGAATTATGGTTAGCTTTGAGAATATTTTAAAGTAATAATATTTTAAAGCGAATATTTTAAACCACGAGATAGCTGGAGCACAGTGGCTTTTTATGAACTTTTAAATCGTAAGCGTCTAGTGGTGTGAAAAATAATTTTTTAAGCATATACTTTACGAACAAACATAAACTATGCTACCACTAGTGCAGAAAGTTGGCATCTTTGTTACCGATTAGGCCTAAGTACACGTAAATACGTAACGTTAAACGTCACATATCATGTACAGGCCTGCCATCTAAAAAAGCGTAGTATTCTACGCTTTTTGAAAAAGAGCTTTTATAGAGTGGTAGACGTCTAAACTCCAAAGCTTTCAGAATATTTGGTAAATTTGCCAACATTTTAAACGCCTTACCTGGAACAAAGTGGCTTTGCATATGAACTTTTTAATCATTTATATGTAATGGCGAGGAAAATAAGTTTAAATGAATAAAAATTAATTCATAAAAACATAAACATGGCTACCACTAGAATATATTTTTACATAGAACTTAGAAAGTTGACAGATCTGCATGCGTCAAGTTCACACGTTCTTCACGGATAGTTTTTATCGAATATATAAAGTGGTAACAATTGTTATCACATGGCTTTTAAAACTATAAAATTGAATCATAATTATTTTAACCTCCACGGTTTATAAGCAATTTATCATGAGATCTGATAATATTACTGTCAAGGTTTTAAGTTCTGACAAGGTTAAACAAACATTTCTTAACTCATTTTCTTATTATTCAACTCTTCGTACTTTGGTAAATATTACTTTTTATTTAGTAACTGAACTATGTTAACTCTTTCCGGAACAGCAAAATTCGATTGAAAATTTTAATCAGGCAGGACATAATGCAACCTTAGAGACTATGTTCTACAAGTGACATACTTTATCTCCTTGTTGTTTAAAGAATATACTCACGCTTATGTAAAAAGTGGTACGAGGTACGTACCCCAAAGGGGTACGTAGTCTCTGCCTCTTCATCTAAAATGTTGAGATTCCGGTAAGAAAGTCCGAAATATCGGAGCGCAGCTGCGCTTGTAAATGTTTAAGAATACTGGTTGCTAAACGTTTAAAAGCAATTAATTTTTCATTTCAAGTGGTTTGTAATATTTGTCAAATTAATGTCTCCAGACCGGGTACACTGTACCATAAGGGGTTAAAACTATGCTATAAAACTGTTTCGTTGACAAGTGACAGCATTCAAAGAGTACATTTTATATTTATTTATCAAAAAAAAAAATTTTTTTTAAAGCAAATCGAATTTATATTTCATTTAAAAGTAATTCTACAGATTAATATTAAATTTCAGTTCAAGGGCTATAAACGATAATTTCTTTTTTTAAGAAAAAATTGAACGAAGTGATTTTTTTAAAATACCTGGTTCAATGGGATGAAAAACGTCATGATATAAAGCTTTTGAAATTCCAAACGGTATTAATCTCTTCAATAAGGCTTGACCTAAAAGAAAAATAATAAAAAAATTATGTTTCTCAAATTATGGGATTTCGTTGAAAGTATTCAATTTTGAATCGAAAATATCATCGTAAGCTACGAAGTGCACTTCCTTATTATGGATTGGCTGTTCAAGCTCATTTGAATCACTACTTTTATTTACATAAATTGTCGTCATTTTAGGTTTATTTTATATTTCATGATATTTATTATCGATTAATTGTATTAAAATAAGCCTATATTCAACTGTTTAATCGTAATTAATTGATATAACGACTAACTTGCAAAGCTCCCCAATTTAGTTACCAAATTAGTAAATTACTATAATTCTGGGAAAATTTTTTGATAATAAATATAAAATTGAGTTAATTTATATGAATGAAAGTAATAACTCAAATGCGCATGAGCAGCCAGCTCATAATGGAGAAACCCCTCAAGCAGCTTACGATAACATTTCCAGTTGTTATACCATTCTCAATAGTTATGTCCTACCTTCCCATCTAAACTTGTGATCTCTGAACTGAATCATCCTATTGATGGGTATGACATTTTAAACGAACTTTAGGTATGGTACTAAACTTTAGGTATGGTACTCGATGTCTCAGAACTGATGATAGTACTTGCTAATAAAACCGAAATGATCTCAAGGTAATTTTATTTTATTCCTAACCCTTTCTTTCTTCAAATTGCAAAAATAAGAAATCTTCTTGAATTTGACTTGAAAAATAACAAAAATTTATAACATTAACAGCAATATTCTTGATACAAGCCGTCTTTCATAGAATTTAAAAGAAATGATTACTTAATAATTTATGCCGATTAAATAAGATGATGATTATGATTTCGAAAAGAACGATTGGTACTTACCTATTCTTCCCATTCCAACAATACCAACGGTGGCATTTTTTAAACCTTGACCACAAAATAACATTGGACTCCAACTGTATACCCATTCTCCGCTGCAATGAAAAAATAAATTAATAATATTAAAAAAGGAAGAAAAACAAAATTTTCTTGTCATTAAATGAATAGATATTAATTCGAAACTTTGTTTCTCTATACTTTGAAAACTGATAATTTTCGGAAAAAACTAAACACCGATATTACGAATTTTTCATTTCAACTTTTTTATAAAAGGAATAAGCTTTCCACAAATACCTCGATATTTATTTAATTGAATAATATTTTTAAGCTTTCACAAGAATATTAATATATGTTTAGAATGTTTACATGTAGTGTCATTTAAGTACTTATTTTGAAATAATGAGAGAAAAGAGATATTTTTGCTACTAGTACTTTATATTTTCGAAAAATTGACAGCCCTGGTTTACTGTCTTGAATATATCCGCAACAAAGCTTTTATGGTATGACAAAGTTGTTTTTGTTTTAAAATTATCCAACGTGCTATCCTAAATAAAGTAGGGGAGAGTGGGGTCAATTGTAACAGTTTTTACTTAACTATTTTTAACTAACAAAAAATACAATACATTAGTAATAATTGAGAGACGAGTAAAGTAGACTATCCTCTACCAGAAAAAAATACCTTATTTTAAATGTTATTATATTAGTTATTAACAATTTTTTAAAGTCGTGCACTTAATACAATTGTCCCCACTTACGGGGTCAATTGTAACAGTTCATAAATTCAACTAAAACATAGTTAATTATACATATTATCATAGTTGTGATAGATTTTTTTATTGATCAAAATAGTAACGATATTTTAGGAGTAAAAATAATAATGAGCAGAGACCTAAAGGGTTAAACTTTTAACTTTAAGGGGTTAAAAATTNTTTGACTTTAACAATCCTTAATACATACATTTAAAATCCTTTGCTAAAACTAAAGTACAAGAAATATGTACATTAGGTGTTGCAAATTAATATTTAAGCAAGCAAACGAAACCATTCTAGAAAGAGGGTCTGAAATTATTAAAACCAATTTGATTGCCTAAAGAAAATGAGAATTTATGAAGAGGGTGATTGTTAATAACATCATCCAGCTTCCACAGGCAATCAATCTGGTTTTTTTCAATCCTCACTAGTGATATGAGGGTTTTCGACATTTTGCTTTGATTTTTTCTCCGAAGATGAATTAAGTAAAATTATAGAAATTTTGTTTTTAATTACAACTGCTGCTTTTTTTACTTCATTTCTAGCACGAAATTTGAAAATGAATAGATATTTATGGCGAATGCTTTTTATTTTATAAATATTCGTAGTGGTCATTAATAAATACCCTTCTTTTAACTCCTAATCAAATATCGACATTAAAAAAACTGAATTTAGATAGGAATAAATTTTGGCTATTCAATTTAAATTTATATCCCTGTGCCACAGATGAGACACCGGTGTATATTTCAATTTATAATTAAATAATATTTTTGGTACTTTTTTAATTATAAAAACGCAGTCTAATAGTTATTAAAACTTCTGTTAGATTATCGGAATTATATTTATTTTAAAAAATAAAAAATACAAAATCAAAAAAATTGCTTTAAAAAACATTTTATTCATGTTCAAAAATTTTCGAAAGCAGATTCTGTGAATTGCAGAAAGTCCATTTGTGAATAACTGTTTCTCTTAATTCTAAATAACTGCAAGTAAGTGCAAATTTGAAAAAAAAATTTTTGGAAGTGATCCATATTTGAAAGATTTTACCTTTATTTCAGAAAAAAAGATCCTGGCGTATCATGCTGCGTGTCATAACCATAAATTATTAAAATGCTAAAAAAAATATGAAAAATATGTTTAATAAAAATTCTGCTTCAAAGGAATAAAATAGTTAAAATGCGCTAAAGCTACATAAAAAAAAATTATATGGTAATTCATGAAATTATAAAATTAATTCAGGAGAAGGAAAAAAAATAATTGTAGACAAAAAAATAATAAAATTTCAATTTCATAAAAAATAATTGCATCTTATTGAAAGAAATTATAGACCTTTGAAATATATATTTCCTACTATAATCTCGGACCCAAATCACATACACATTTCTTCATTTAATCTCGGACACAAATCTGTTTTGTCCCATAGCATGAACATTAAATCTGTTGTAGAACCGTGCGTAGCTAAAGTTCGAATTCACAGTCTAGTGATTAAATCAGGAGAGCACCACGTAAAAGCAAATGATATTTCAGGCAGAACGAAATCAGTGCAGAAACACTGAATACAAATGAATCTACTCTTATTAAATCATTCAACGGTTCAGACGTGACACTGAATCAAATAAAGTTATTGTATCAATTCCTTATTCTACTTGCATTTCTGCTTTGATAACGATTTGTTATTGTGTACACATAAGAAATTAAGCAAAATGAGTTTAAAAATATATTTTATATGAAGCAGAAATATGAAAAAAATAAGATTTTAAATTACCATTTTTGTTGTATATAGTATATAATACATTTGGCGAACAGTATGTGGGCTTTTAATAAAAGTAATACGAAGAAATTTTTACCTTTATTAATTTTAAGAAATTTCCTAATTATTGAGAGACTTAGTCGTTAATTTATACAGTCAGATTCTTTATTTGAGAAAAAAAAATCCGGCGTCCGTAATGTAACTCTCTACATACTGTTCGCCGTAATGTTTACTCCCTATTAAAGAGGACATTCTTTTCAGCGTCAGGTCACGTTGACAACAAACACGTAATTTTTTCACTCCTCAAAAGATGGCAGCACTGCGCAACTTTGCCATATTCCGAGGTTTGCTTTGATCATTCACCGGACTAGTTATCAAATTATATATATATATATATATATATATATATCGTTTTATTTCGTTATCGAACTATACAAACATGCTTTCAAAAGAATATAAAAGCTTTTAAAAATTAAACACGACAGGCGGAACTTAAATTCGTGCTGTCTTTTATGATATATATCATTGGATTATTAAAGACAATGTTACAGTTTTGCAGTCTTACCGGAATCCTAGACTTGGCGATATATTTCGTTAAATAAAGAGAATATTCGTTCTTGAAAAAGAAACAACGATATAACGTTGCAAGATCATTGATTTTGATTGGATCAATACAAATGGCACGTCTTATGTTGACATGTTCTTAACAAATCAAATACGAGATTAAGAATGTTTACTTTTGTTTCGCGGTTTTTTATTCTTTCATCAGCTTCTTTAAATGCGAACAGAAAAACGTATATTTGTGGCGATTTTTCGATGTCATTTTTATTAATTTTTATTGCTTGTTAATCGATTATTCTTGTTAATAACTGTTATTATTATTAATTAGAAAGCAAGCGAGGAGGCTGGGCAATGTAGTTTCAAGAGTTGGCGATATTGATATACGTTCGCGCTGGGAGCTTGGCATCCATTTGGCTTGCACTTAGATCGGCACGGGCTCTTCCTATAGAGATAATGGTTTTTCTTAACTAGCAACAAAGTATAACTTCAGTTCTCTTTTTCTTTTTTTTTTAAATAATTTTAATTTATATTTACTGTTTGTCTAAGATAGATACTCTTCCCGCCACAAAGTCTGCAGCAGTCTGGTGCTATGAAAACAAGAAGAGAAACATTTTAGTTAGGGTAGCTTCGATGAAGAGGTCTCCCTTTATCTCGCCGAAACCAGTCCTAAAGAGGGTTCCCGCATCCCTACTTGAAATAATCATACCTCATTACCATAGTCATCGCCACAGATCAAGACCAATGTCTGGAAGAGTAGTCTTAGACAAACAGTAGGCATGAATTAAAATTATTTATTTAATATGTTAAACACAAAAGTCTATAAAATACATGTAGTTTCAAGAAAACATAAAAAGTTATCAACTTTTGATTTTTCCTGTTACATTTAAGAAGTTTTTCTCTGATTGATAGATAGAGTGATACTTCTTAAAATATCGATATTTCTCTATGATACATCACGAAATTCAAATCTCTATATCAGCCAGCACAAATTGTGATTAAGAGACTTTGATTAATATTTACCTATTCTTACACTCTTCCAAATCGATGTGCTCGAATCCCACTGACATCGATGCAATCACTCGAAGTTGAGGACCTTCCAGAAAAACAATTATAAATTAATATCAATAAACTTATTTTACATTTTCTGATTTTAATATTTTCCCGATTAATTTTAATTTATGTATTCTTATTTTAGAGCTAAAAACACTAAGACAAAGTACTGAAAATGACATTATATAGTTTTTCAACTATTTAACACGTTGAATGCTATGGGGGTCACTGGTGACCGGCACTGAGTTTGTTTGTTGCGCCACGGGACTCACCAGTGACTGGCGAAGCCAAGATTATTAGAAACATATAATTCGAGTAAATTTGTAATTTTTTTATATTATTATTGTTTCTAAAATGGTTTGAAGAAATTAATGCAATATAGAAATAGTTTTAGTTATATACACAGAGATGCCAACTTGCTCCGGACAGCGAATAATTATTTTCGAGGGGTAGTTTATTAATTGTGATTCTTGGTTTAATAAATTAAATTTAGTAGATTTTTATCCACCACTATTTTTAAGCAATTCGTAGGGTTATATAATTCACTTCTTTATACAGATGTGACCAAAAACGGAGAAAGAACGGTGTCAACTCGGCGACACCAGCCAGTTCTGAACCCCACCTTGAGAAAGAGATCATCCCCACAACTCCGGCGGAACCCGTCTTAGAACAGATGGAGCTAGGAGACCCTACTGAAGCCCCGGCAACAGTTGAGCCCCCAGCTACTACACCTGAGCCGAAAGATACCCTGCATCCCACCGGCAGGAAAATCAAAGCCCTCGTACGCGGACTTAGAATCGACATCGAGACGAAGAATCTCGAACACGAACTCTCAGATATTGGACTACGGCCAATCAGGACAGAGCAGATGAGAAGGAAGCGTGGCCAGGATTACAAGCTCCTCCCCCTCTTTCTGGTCATTCTGACTGACATTCCCAAACACCGGGAGATCTTCAAACTTGACCGACTACTGGATACACCCATCCGGGTAGAGAGATTTCGTGGAGGCCGATACGAAATCCAGTGCTATAAGTGCCAAGGATTTGGCCACACCCAGAAGGACTGCACAGATAGCCCAGCGTGCATGAAATGCGCGGGAGCGCATTATTTCTACCTATGCACGAAGCCCCTGAGTGAGCCTCCGACTTGTGTGAATTGCAAGCAAGACCACACAGCCTGTTTTTCAGGCTGCCCATCCAGGCCCAAGAGAAAATTCGCACCGAAAAGGAAAGATCATCGGAGTGCCTCCAGCTCAGCCACCAGATTCCTGAGAATTGTTAAGGAACTGCAAGAGCTCTTGAAAGACGAGGATTTAGTTTCACTGATCCATTCCCTTCTCCCGGCTCCCAGGACCTAGACTCGGAGATACTCCAAGCAAGACGACCATAGATTTTCATCTGTGGAATTCCATTTTTACTTCACGCCACTAGTCATCGTTGCCTTAGGGCGCATTTTCAGATGAAGAGGTCAGGTGCCCGCTACCGCGGGCAGGTACCTCATCAAATTCAGATCAAAGCAAAGAAAAAAAACAGATGTGACCTTGCTCTCTACACTTTTATGTTAATGAAATTTTTATGATCTTGTCATTTTTCATTTTGAATTTTGCTAACTCTTCTCATATTTTGTAAATAGTTATTCTTCTTGTAAATATTGTTCCCCTACTTGAAAATATGTATTGCAATTTTCTATACATTCAATTATTTGTTTCTCATTACCATGACAAAATGCCATTCTTTTTTCTCTACCTTAATATGTGCCATTTAATTGTTGCATCTCATGTAATCTGTCTATTGTTGTTTGCTTAAGTTCTCATTACAGGACGAGTGGGAAAAGGGCCATTATTGGCCTCAGGAGCCCAGCTAGACTAAACAGATCAGATGTGACCCGCTAAACCTTCTCAAAAACTAGCAAAATCAGTCTAATATTTGCAAATTTAGTTTGTAGTAATTTACCGTTTGGTCAGACGGGCAAACCATGCAAATTAGCGTGGCATTCAACGTGAAAATTTTACTTTGATAAACTATTAACACATATTGATTGAGATATCATGTTCTAAACTTTTAGAAATCGTGCCATTTCTACCCTTGCAGGATTAGTATCAATCAGAATTTAGAGATGAAACTAAAAGTATATAATTTCCTTTTTTCAAATACCACCATAAATCTAAAAATAATACAAATGATTTTTAAAGCAAATTACGGATACTTATTATGTCTTTTTTCCTACAAACTTGGGTACTACTTTCCGTTTATTTGTGATCGTATTTTCACAATAGCTTTCAATCAAAATAGTATCAGAGATGCCAACTTGCTCCGGACAGCAAATATGTATTTTAAAGTGGTAGTTTATCAATTGTGATTCTTGGTTTAATAAATTCAATTTAGTAGATTTTTATCCACGAGTATTTATGTCATGCTATACCTTTTAAAATGCAAGCAAAAATGGCCAAATATTTGCAAAATTCACTTGTAGTTATTTACCCTTTTTTTAATTATTTTGGCGTGTCCAGAGCAGTTGGCATCTCTGTAGTTTGCGAACTTACGCGTAATTATGATGATGCAATGAGAGCAAGCTATATTTGAAGTTACGAAACCTATTTTTGCTTATTGATTGCCATATCTCCGAAACTATAATGAATCGAATCAAAGAAAAATTTACACACGACTTAAAAACGTGCTTATTAAAAGACAATCCTGTGAAAAAATGATTGTTTCTAATTAAGCCCTAACTTTTGTTTGTTGCTCCGATCAAACTATTTTGAAAATATTTTAAGGGTATTTTCCCCTTCCATATTTTAAGGGTCGAGAATCTAAAAGACGTTGAAGAAAAATATGAATGCTTAGTTAGAGAAAGTTCGTCTTTGGGTCTAATTTCGTAACTTATTGTCTTCACAAATTAATTAGCATATTAGTTCTTCGAAGCACTAAATTCGAGTCTCAGTGCTTGAAAATCTGATCATTCGATCAAAAGTTATAGAGGATATTGATTTCTTGTGCACTACACTGTTATGAAGCTGCTATGGCTCAGTTGTTTAGGCACTGAACCATCAAGGGATGAAGTTCGATCTGTAGCGGGTTGAAGCTCACCTAGCCTCAGATATATAGGTACCAGCTTGTCTGGATTGTGAAACTGTCTGTACGCCTTTGCTACAATCATGTCGTTGTTCACGAAAATTGTTGAGCCTTTAACTCCACGACCCCATTCATACAACGGGCAGTTGCGGGAGCGCTTTACTATTGGTAATGTATTGTAAATTACTTTAAAATATGCATTCTTACAAATTACAAAATTGCGTTGATTGATGCACGGTTTTCTTACCTGCTGCATCCAAAACTTCCTTATCAATTGGATCTGTGAGCAGACAGAGCAACCCATCTTTTCCAGCCACACCCTTAAGAAGAGCATCCCGTGGAATTGGTTTCTCTTCGGGATATACTTCCACATCACAACTAAAAATAAATAAATAAACAAAAATAAATAAATGAATGAAAAAAAAATAAATGGAAAAAAAAATTAAACTTTAACAAATCCAACAAAATTTCTTTTGCTGGGTTTTCAAAAAGTTTCACATTATCAATTGAGTTTAACTATTATCACGAGGTATTACAAACATTTTTAGAAAGTGCTCCGCAATCCTTAGTATAAATTTTTATAATCCTTGTCAAAAATGATAGGGAAAGGGTAAAGATATTTAGGGAAAAATATTTTATTTTAAATACGGAAAAGGAAAACAACAAAAGCGTTTATCAATCTCTCGGATTTATAGCACTTAGAATTGCAAGGAAGCATGAAACATGCCAAATCCCAGTTTATAAGTGTTTTGATTAAACTCCTCTCGGTCACTTCCGGTATTCAAATATATTTTGATTTTTTCTGTCCACTCTTCTTGAATTGTGATTCGTTAGATTTCGATATCGTTATTGTTTCTTCATCGCTTTTTCACTTCATTTTTAAAAAATATTCGAAAAGTAAGTATAAAAGGCAGTCATTATGAAACACCTTTCATAAAGCAATGGTGAAAAAATCTATGAAGGCAAAGGTGAAGAAGCCTTGCAATGGTGATAAGACCTTACGAAAGTCATTTCCAAAATAAAGAAATCAGGCACAAAACACACTTTTTTTTATAAAAAAAAAAGAAGAAAAAAATCTGTAGATTTTGATTTTTAATTCCTTTGTGAGAATTAAGTAACAGTTTTCTTTCAACAATAAAAAGCTACGAATTAACTACCCGATGAGAATTAAGAATTAACAATAATGAATTTTCTTTTAATAATTAGGATCAAATAAGACTTTACTAACCGATGAGAATTACGAATTAACAATAATTTTCTTTTAACAATTAAGGATCAACAATAATTAATTTTCTTTTAACAATTACGAATTAACAATCCTATGAGAATTAATAAATAACAATAATTAATTTTCTTTCAACAATTAGGAATTAACAATCTGATGTGAAATGTATCTGAAATCGAAAAAATGCATGTTTAATAGAATAGTCAGTTGTAATAACACAGTTAACGCACTGAGATTTCATTGTGACAATCGGAATTCTATCCCCGAAGACGGCTAAAATCCCACTAGAATGATCGGCATCAGCTTGTTGGGAAATAAAGGCAGCCGGTGCGTAATGATGATCGCCATTATTATGTTGATTTCAAAGTTTTGGAAGCTTCACCTTAATGCACCTTTGGTTGACAAATTGGCTATTAGAAATGCTTTACATCTTTAAAAAGCTGGGAAATTATTTAGGAGAATAAATTAGAATATCTCTATACTAAAAAATCGTAAAAGTCTGCTCCATTGTTTTTAGCCAATAGCAGCCACCACACTGACTGCTGAACAAAAAATGCTTTTTATTATAATTTTCTGTAAATTTCAAGGTGTATGGGATAAAGGCCTTCTGAGCAGCCCAGTTGCCCAAATTTGTTAAATAAAGTACGTAAGCCATTGTTTTGGATGTTCAATTTATATTTTGTTTTTCTACGCAAAATCTATAAGACTTAGACAATTCAGTGATTACGATGGAATAAAAAAATTTAACATTCGTTAATTTGTTCGAGAATTATTAACTGTAAACTTGCTGGAAAAAATACCTTGTTAGCCGCTCTACAAGCTGCAAGATGCAACTATAGGGTAGAAATTCGACATGCCCGCTGTCTCACTGTTTTAAATTTGTAATTTAGTTTTCTCTACAGCTACATTTTTGTCAGTTTAACAATATATTCCTAATCAGAGGGGATGGCATTAGCTTTTAATCCCCGAGGAAGTGGTAGAAACTCAATTCATTTTTATTTATTTAATCTATTTAATTGTTCAATCGAAACCATCATGACGTACGTTGCAAATTATTTACATTCGAAACGGAAAAATTTTTACATTCACCTTGAATAGTAGACTGGAAAAAATATGATAGTAAAAGCTGCTAATTTAAATCTTTTTAATGGATATTTGCTCTATATCAATCTCCACTTTTTACAGTTTTTAGTCAACCTTGGCATCTTTACTAATCAGGATTTTCTAAAACTCACTCTAGTGTCCCCACTCATCACCTCCTACATCAGAAAGCCTCCACACGGTCTTTTATAAGTAGTCCGAGGAGACTATTTAAAAAGTGAGCCAGTTGTGTGCATGAACCCAAAATCCTTTATAAAAGTAATTGAGAGAAATTTATCATATATATTTGAGAATTGAATCTGTAGTGGTTGACAAGTGAAGGAGGCAAACCAATAATATTCATAAATAAAACAAATTTTTAGTCATATATTTGCTACCACTTTCTTATTTTGACTAGATTTTGTATTAAATGACTCGTTCGCATAGTGGATTATCTTCACAGTGGTCTGATCGGACTATCTATTGAAAACCGTGTGGAGGCTTTTAGTTATAGGAGGCGTTGCCCCACATCAAAGTTTTGTAGGGCATGGTTGAAAGAAAGCAATGCATGTTAGTTTGTCAATGTTTCGTCTGAATGTATTTTGTCTTAAGTGTTATTTTCAAAAAGGCAGACAAGTGTTTGTACGCAAGTTTGTCGTAAACCCATACATTCTTTATAAACTTCTATATTCTCACAAAAATAACTTAAACTAAAATCAAATCTGAAGCCTTTGAAAAAAAAATCTTTAGTTAATTTCAGATTTGAAACCCTCACACTCGAATTATGTAAGATCAAGTATTCGTACTATTGGAACAAAAAATTTGTTCAAAAGTGAAATAATAAAATTATTTCATTAAATTTTATATTAACAATCAAAAACTTTTAATTAAGCTTGATTTTTTTTAAAATTCAAAGTATGAAATAAAAAAAAAAAAAACAGATTATTGTAGTTTAAAATAATTACTTCAAAAAATCTGAAGTTTTTAAAAATTATGGGGTGGTGGCACGTGTCTCCTTAACCCCTTTGACATAATAGATTCGATTTCCCTTTAAACGAATAAAAAAAAAAACAAATTTATACAAAATCAGAACCTGTTGGAATTCTATAATGTTTGAGATTTTCTTTTAAATAAATATCGGCTACAGTTTTCTTCGAGGCGAAACATTTATTAGAACTATTTGCATTCATCTTGAACTTTGAAACACAATTTTTCTGTTACTATAACCTGTATTCAGAGACGTTAATTCTATAAAGTAAGGTTAACGGTCAACGGATGATAACAGGAGTAATTTTTAAACCACTATCTCTTTTATTTATGTAAATATTTCCTCCAATTTTATCACTTGTTTATATTAAGTCATCAAGACGAAGATTAGATCAAGAGTAAAAAGTTCAGTTTTGTATTAAATAACAAAAATAAAATTCGTTATTGCGAGCGGCTACATTAAAGTTCTCAAATTTTTTTTTTATTTATTATTTAAAAGTTTAAATTAAAATTTCATTTACATTGGTGCAAACAATTGCACTGCTCGCTGAACAATTCAAGAAAAAAATACAATTACAATGATACAAAGCGAATAGAAATAAACAGTAGAATGCAAATTTCAAGATTTTGGTTTTAAATGTTAACACGTTGAATGCCATGGGGGTCACCGATACTGAGTTTGTTCGTAGTGCCACGGGGATCGTTGGTGATGCCCGTGAAGCCGAAATTGTAAGAAATACATAAATTGAGTAAATTTCAATTTTTTTATATTATTATCGTTACTAAAATGATTTGAAGAAATTAATGTAATATAGAACACACAAAAAAAGTTTTATTTATATACACAGAGATGCCAACTTTCTCCCGACAACGAATAAATATTTTCTAGTGATAGTTTATTAATTGTGATTTTTGGTTTAATGAATTCAATTTAGTAGATTTTTATTCACCACAACAATTCGTAGGCATGTTTCTAAACAGTTCGTAGGCTTATATAATTCACCACGATTATTATATATGTCACGCTGAACCTTTTAAAAAAATAGCAAAATCTGTCTAATATTTGCAATTTTAGTTAGTAGTTATTTACCGTTTACCGTAAAATTAGCGTGGCATTCAACCTGTCTCAATTTAAATCTCACGCAGCTGCCAACTCTCTTCAAGATTTTTTTTTCTTCGAAATATTAAAATAGTAGCGAAGTTTATGATTTTCTTATTAATTTCTGAGTATATATATTTAATTTTAAATGATTTTGACAACCACTATATTAAACCTTTATATAAATGCAGGACTCGTGTATGTTTAAACTCTGTCAATATCTCTATTTTATAGTTATTTATTATATCAATTGAATTAACTATTACAATTTGGTCTCCATGGTAGAGAGTTTAGGCAACGCCTCCTATAACTGAAAGCCTCCTCACGGTTTATTATAAGTAGTCCGATCAGACCACTGTGAAGGATATCCACTTTCAGAGCAAGTCATTTAATACGAAATCTAGTTTAAATAAGAAAGTGGTAGCAAATATATGACTAAAAATTTGTTTTATTCATGAATATAATTGGTTTGCCTTATTCACTTGTCAACCACAACAGATTCAATTCTCAAATATATGTGATAAATTTCTCTCAATTACTTTTATAAAAGGTTTTGGGTTCATGCGCACAACTGGTTCACTTTTTAAATAGTCTGCGCGGACTACTTATAAAAGAGCGTGTGGAGGCTTTTTGATGTAGGAGGTGATGGTTTAGGTAGCTGATTTGAATACTGCTGTATACCTGGATATGTCTATATGCTGTATTTCTCTAAATTGTGCGATCTGTCCTTCCATTTGACAGAAGCTTCTAAGCCGTATTTGAGCAAACTAGCCAGCATGTGCAAATTAACTATCAGAGTAGTGGAAGACAAATTTTTTGGTTTATTTATAGATTTCTTTATAAATCATAAAAGGTGTCCCATATTTCCTTTCGTTTCATCTTACACTTAGATTATCAGAGATTTCTTTTTAAAATTTTCTTACTTACGTGTATTATACTCATCCACGCATCAATTTAAATGATATTTAATTTTCTAATTATTGTATAATGATAAAGAAGAAAAATTTTAAAAATAAAGTAGTGCCACATTTATTGCACGATTTTAAATAAGGAATGAATATTGAATAATAATAAATATTGATTATTATTTTAACTAAAACCTCAAAAGACACCATAACGTAATTTTATTATTTTTGAGGGCCGGCGCTAATGACTTAAAGTTAATAGTCTGTAAATTAAAGAAATGTCAAAAAATATTAGCCAAATTTAAAAAATCTTAGCCAAAAGCTAATCTTAAAAAGTTTTTATTATCGATTATATCCCCTTGTAAACTTATCGTAGAAAACTTTAAATCAAAATACAAATCTACTATTAAATTGAAGTATTTTATAAAAATGCAAATTCAAATCAAGAGTCATTTTGCAGCTGGGTAGGAGTAAAGGAGTAATTAATGGGAGAGGCAATAATTAATGTTGATGTTTTGTCGTTTTTCTGAGGAAAAGAAATAGGTATAGGGTGAATTAATTTTTGATAACTGATTTATTGCATTAGAGCAGTATTATGAAAATAAACCTGAAGTAACATTATGTTATTGTCATGGTATTGTATATAATATTGTAGCGAGAAAATATATATTTTGCAAAAATAGTTGAATGAGATAACATGAATCTTGTAACAGTTTAATCTGCCTTATGGACATAAACTATTGGAAAGAATTTTGTCACGTGATATCGCGTGATCCGGCAACGAACATGCTATTCTGTATTTTATGGTAGTTTATCTCAGGCTTGCATCATAATATCTCTTGTTTTCATGCTTATATTACCAGGACTTAATATAATTCAAATTGGTTGTACGACGTATTTAATGGAAATTATTGTAAACGAACAAAAAATATAGGATTTGTTCAAAAAATTCCTTTTGACTGGTTTTTTTTTAATTTATTTTTATTTTATTTCCGGGATCGAGGGGAATACATCTTTTTCCTTTCGGTAAATACTTTTTTTTTTAACTGAATTCGCATTTGGAGAGATTGCCCTGCTTTTTATTATTTTTTCAACACTCTCTAAGAAGAAAAATTATATGAATAACTTTTTGATAACGTCCATCATATTATATCCATCACTTTCTTAATAAATACTTATAAACAACGAACCTTAATTATTAAGAACGAGTACGACACTGATTGCAACTCTATAACTGCCAACTCTTCCGGTTTTCCCGGAAGATTTTATTTTCATATTTAAAGTGCTAGCGAAATTCACGTTATTTCACTAAACTTTTAGAATTATAATAATATTTTAAATCAGTTTGACCACCACTACATATAAATATTTCAACAAATATATAAAAGCATATTAGTTCTTACAATAGCGAATTTCAACCTGATTAAAATATAAATATATTTTTGAGGAATATAGTTTTTCGGTAATTATTTTACTACCACTTGAAAAATCCATTCTCGAAAGGAGAGAATATTGGCAGGTATGTAACTCTGTAATTCATCATTGAAATTTCTAGAAATTACAAAATCAATTATTGAAAAATTTGCAAAAAAATTTAAAAGAAATTTCTTTTTTTTTTTTAATTTTATAATTTAAAACGAACATAATTCCGAGTATCAGATATTTTTTAGTAACTATTAAAATTGTTTATTATATTTAATAATAATAATTTACTTGTAAATNATCAATAAACTATATGCTTTTAAGATTTCATCTATATATATATATATTGTTAAAGACAGAACTATTTTGCTTTTGAAAAATAATAAAAAATTGTTCTTTCCATTTATCGGAACTGTAATATCCGTGCATACTCAAATGAAACATAAAACTTTTTTTGAACCTATAAACTATTCTTACCTTATTCTTAAAAGATCCAATCCTTCTTTCGGAACACTAGGCCTGGTAACAAATACTTTAGGTCGGCTCATTTTCTTAGAGTTTAAAAACAAAACTCCGAAAGATAATTTTTTGTCGGTCCTTCAAAAAATACTCTTGGCTTTGTGCCTTCCTTTTCAGATAAATAAGATAAGATACACCAAATATGACTGTTAAATGCCGTAAAAATATTCCTCCTTAAAATAAGTAGAAAAATAGTACTCGCTTAAACTTATGAAAGGGAAAAAAATAGGGATTTTTCTTACACTTGAGAGACGCGATATAGATTTAGTACTAACATTCAAGCTCGTTATGATCTTTATGCTTTGGAGAATATGACTATGGTTGAAGAGGTGATGCAATAATCGATGTGGGTCTGAAATGATTCCTGGGGGAAAGGGTGATGCAATGTCGTGACCAATACTGTAAACGCAAACTTCACCCTCTTATTTTTGTTCTATTCGGTATGGAAATTTGTTTTTAATAGGAATAGCTTTATTCCATAGGCTGGTTTACGTGACTTAGACCATGTAGAAATAATTCATTAGAACGCCATTATTGCTGTTTAGGAAAAATGATTGCGAAATTAAATTGCTTCTTTTTTTTTTTCATTGAATCAAAGGCATTTCGTATAACACTGTTTAGCAATTGCACAGTTTCATTAAAAAAATTAAGTAATTAAAAAAATAAAACATTTTTTTTTATTAAATAGGAATAAAAGTAATATAAAAAAAAGCATTTTAAAAAATATTAAAAATTTTTTTTAACAAGAATAAAGTAAAGTTACTAAACGTACAATCGTATTTTAAAATGGTGTTAAATCTTCTCCAATCTGAAATGCAACTATTTAAACAAAAAATTCGATAAAATATTAAGTTCTTTTCCATTTATTTATTTTATTTATTTATTTATTTTATTCATTTATTTATTTATTTTATTTATTTATTTTATTTACTTATTTTATTCATTTATTTATTTATTTTATTTATTTATTTTATTTATTTATTTTATTTATTTATTTTATTCATTTATTTATTTATTTTATTTTATTTATTTTATTTTATTTATTTTATTTTTTTTATTTATTTATTTTATTTATTAATTTTAATAACAGATCACTAAAATTATACTATCAACTATACTGTGAATTCATCGTATTTTAATTTCATATAGTTGCACAACGTAAACTATGTTGTTAAAACATGAATATTTTCAACATAAATCATTCATTAAAATGGTGCCATACACCTTTTAAACGAGTTGTAAAATTTCCTTAGAAAGTTCTATAGTTTTTAATGAAATAGTGATAATATCCTAACACTACAGTGAACATAATAATAACTTTTTGTACGCAAGACTCTTTCAGTGGTTTAAAACGGATAAAAGTCAAGATTTTTTGACGATAAAGTAATTAAAATTGTGATGATAAATTGAGCCTATGAAAAAATAATTTAGCAAATTTTCACCGTGAAGTTTCTTTTTCCTGGACAAAAATGATTCCTACATTCTTTCTCTCTCTCCCCGAAAAATATCACTCACTTTTCATTCGTATTCAATCTTTGTCAAAAATTGAAATCTCATGTAAATATTGTAAAGATACAATAGACCCTACAGAAATTAATTTCACAAATTTTTACCTTGAACAGAAACTTATATTTTTGGATAATAAAGATAATTTTCATGCGTCATTCTTTTTAAACAAGGCCATGCAACTTACAATCGAGTTACACCTTTTTGCAAAAATAACAATTAAAAGTTTTTCTTTTTTGTAAAAAGTTATTAAAATTCTTATAGAAAATTCGTATCAAATTTGCTCAGGGAAATAAAAAATTTTTTAGAAATAAATATTTTCTTAAGAAGCAAATTTTTAAAAAAACAGTGCCATTCGTTTTGATTAATTGTCACGTTACAGATTTCATTGTTCCTCAAAATGTCTCACAAATCTTAAGTGTCATGCATTTTTAAGGAATGAATAATTGATATTTACTAAAGACAATTAAGGAGTTATTTTTACAAATTTCAGCACAAAAGCTATATTTATTGGAAATAATCCTATTTAAATAATTTATTTCATTTTATTTATATATATTTTCGTTAATTTTTACTTCCTTAAAATCGTGATTTACAAAGAGATTGTGATCTTTCCCGTCAAATTCAAAACTGCAAATTCAAATTCTTTACTTTTCTCTGACGTCATCAAGTGTCGTCAGCATTAAAAGACACACCCTCGGGCCGAACTGCGACGTCTTCATGGGTGATTGTCATCACATTAGGACAGGTGAATCTAAAGTTCGAGGCTATTTACCTTGAACCGGTATGGGCGACAAAATGACACTCAACCAAATGCGAACTAAAGTGACATGTGTTATATTTATACCTGAAACTCTTGAAAAGGTAGATATTGTTTTGTTAGAAGTTAAATGTCAATTTGAGTAGAACTGATTAATTTTCTTGAAAGGGGGATAATTCCAGAGAACCAAATCAACCAAAATATGAAATCACTAAAAATTACATAACATTTAAATTATAAAGATTTAAATTACATTTAACACATTGAGCGCCACTCTAATTTCACATGGCTTGCCCATCTGGCCACGGTAAATAACTACAAACTAAATTTGCAAATATTAGACGGATTTTGCTATTTTTTTTGAAGGTTTAATCATGACATAACACACGAAAGTGGTGAATTGTATAAGCCTACGAATTATGTAGAAATAGTGGTGGATAAAAATTGAATTTATTAAACCAAGAATCACAATAATTAAGTAAATTTTGAATAAATTTTTTGCAATTCCATGAAAGAGGGCAAATTTTATAGTTCTATATCATGTTATACGCTGTCAGCCTGCTGTTTTTCTGGGCCTATGTGAAAGGTCAGTGTCAGCAAGCGGTGGCAGACTCAGCCTAAATGTAATATCAGTGTCAGCCACCGGTGGTTGAAGCTGCCTAAATGTAATTTCAGTGTCAGCCACCGGTGTTTGACGCCGTCTAAATGTAATTTCAGTGTCAGCCACCGGTGGCTGACGCGGCCTAAATGGAAAGTCCAGTGTCAGCCACCGATGGCTGACGCGGCGCTCAACGTGCTAAATAAGTTTTCAAAGAGATGATTTTTTTAAAAGGTTTTTTGAACCCCTCAAGACTGGCAATACATAGAATTCGCAAAAAATCAGAATCAGCAAATAAAAAAATAATTGGCTGTAACTTAGACGCGGGAATTTCTAATTTTGCACTTTTACTTAGTTTTCAAAATATAAATATATCAAGATTTATTTTGAAATAGGTAGTGATAAATTAAAGAAATCAAACTATTAAAGCCCCGCCCACAAATAAAGTGCTATAATAATTAGTTTAGGTATCAGTTACATACCTGCCAACTTTTAGTGAAAAATGAATAAACAGAAAACTGTTTAGCAATAATAAAATTATTCTTTCTATTTTAACAAAAGAAATAAAATAGTTGCTAAAAGTTGAATCACTCTAGTAGTGAACAAAGAATCGACAGAAATTTACTGTTAATAAATAATATTATTCTTTTTCTTTTTACGAAAGAAATTAAATAGTTGCCGAAGACTGAACCACTCTAAGCGAGAAGAAAGAAACACCATAAAAACATTGTTCATCATCAAAAGGATTATTCCTTTTCTTTTAACGAAAAAAATGAAACTGCTCAAAAAATATATTTTATGGAAAGTTACATAGTCCATTTAATAAAAGGTTAAAATTATTTTTGAACCAATCACTGTTTCAGAAAAGAATTTTTTCATATTTTATTTAACTAACATAAATGCATACATGCGTTATTATGCTGCAGAAATACCCCAATTAACGGCAACAAATAAGAAATTGACTTATACCATTTTACATCCAATCACTGAGAGAGAGAAAAAGAATAAAATAGTGAACTTGAATTTCTAGTGAACCTCGTATGCGCGAATTCTAAAAGAATGATTTTAACGCAGATTTGAGATGAAAGAGTATACTCGTATCGCAATATTTATCTTAATAGTAAGCTTATATCAATATAAATGTCATGATTTCAGTGGTCAAAATGCCCCGAAAAGTTTTGCAGGGTGAGTCATTTATTTTTATTTTTATTGCTATGCCGCTGATTAATGAACATGTTTATAATTATGATTATCCTTTAGGTTGAACTGCGAGCTTTAAAACAAAAGCTTGCATAGAGTTCAACTTCAAAAGATAGCAGACTATAAAAAAAAACAAAGAGCTCGCTTCTCTCACAAACCCCTTCCTCGATTTTTGATTAATTTATTTTCTTTTTGTTCTTTGATAATAGACAGATTTTTGCAACTAAATTAAAACGTTACCAATCTTAAAATGTCAGATTGTATTTCCACAGATTCATACTTGTCAACTTTTAATCCCTTCCACTATAATTTTTCCCAGTGGTAGTAAAATGGAATTAGTATTTCAATTGCAAGCAAAAAAAAAAATAACTGAAAAGCTTATTAATTTTAATTAATTTTTTTAAGAATAGTGGTAATCAAAATCATTTTAAAATTAATCTTATAAAAGAAAAAAATAGTATATATTTACTACCACTTTAATTATAAAAATAACATTTTAAGCCAATTGCGTAAAAGTTGGCAGGTATGCAGATTTGATTTTAAAGATTAGAATAAATTTTAAGCTAATTATTTTGCTTCGGTTATTTTAATTATCTCGGTTATCACTATCTTAATTATTTTCGATTATCCAATTATTTTGCAAACTCATCCAATTTTTCTAAAATTCTCTTTAATGTTTGGTTACTAACAAAAATCGGTAATTATTTTTGTCAAAGAGATCGTTTAATCGATCGGCAGCATAAATTCAAAATGATGATACAAACATTTAATTTCTGATAATGCTTCACGTTTTAATTGCATATGTTGTCTGGACCAGTTCAACATAAAGCTTATAATAACAGTATATATAATTTATTTACTGTTTAATAATTGTAAAATTTGTTAATCAGCTCCAGAAAGTTTCAAAAGTGTTAATCATATAATATTGTGTAATATGGTATTAACATAAATTTCGTTATAATATAAAAACATTGCTTTCAGGTGCATATCTTTTAGCTGAAATTAAAATCAAACTAAAAAATTTCATAACAGTTAAAAATACTGCTAAGAAAGAATACTAAAGAAATTACAGCTTTAAGGTAGGAGTATAAAAAAAAATATTTACTGTTAAACATTACCTTTACAACTTCTATTAATTTTATACTGTTAACCACAAAATAAATCTTGATCATCATTTTGGAAAACTGATTTAAGACGGTAAGCCAACCAGCCTGTGTAGGGGGCAGGGAGCTGTCCTTGCAGCAGCAAGGTTCTGGGTTCGAATCCCGGGCAAGGCATGGATGTTCTTTCCTTCTCTGTACTATCTGTGATCATTGTGGGAGCGAACTAGGCCCACCTAATATGGTGCCCTTGAAAAAGAGGCCAACAAAATCGCCCTGTATATGATGCCTGATTTGACGAATGTTAACACAGGCGGGCATTGGGGGTAAAAAAAATATGACGGTATAATGAAAAGCTACTGAACATAACGATTAACTAGTAGCTGAGATTTAAGTATAAAAATATAACACTTACCCGATAACAGCAGGGCTGCCAACTTGCATCGCTTTTTGTAAAATTTTATTCTAGTTTGTTTAGGTTTTAATTTATAATTTTTTATTCATTAAAACTTATTTTTCACACCACTACAAATAGATTATTTAGTTATTTAAAAGTTTATTTTGTATGTAACAGAACAATGTTCCCGCTCTCTCAAGTCTTCTTGCTGAACTGTATCGCCCGCCGAATGCTGTGCGAAGAGTGGAGGTAGCGAGTTCGAATCTCGCTGCTTCCTTCTACTTGACAAAGGTTTTGAACCTTTAATTGAGAATACAGGCTATATGTTGTACCAAAAAACCAGCTGTTTCGTGGTGAAGAAATTTATGTTGGCTTGCTTGCCAAAAATTCTGAGAGCTTTTGTTTTAAAAAGTCTACCACTCTATAAAATAGTTTGCAAAAATAGTAGTAGCTATAAGAAGTACCTATAAGAGCTGTATACATTTAAGTAGTTGCTAACACAGTACTATTTCCACTTGCTTTTAAGACTAATTTGATACCTACCACAGGAGCATTTGAAACGGCCCAGTTATAGGGGGACTATAAATACAAAAAGTGGCGATTAATAAAATTCATAAATTTTATTAAAAGAAATAAAATTGGCAACTTTTTTACAGCCTACATTTTTAAGTTTACTATTGAACATGATTATAAAGTCTGGTCTGGTATGTATAACTGGGCCTCAGAGGCCAAAATTGGCCCTTTTCCCATTCATCCTGTGTTAAGAAATTTGAAGTAGGAACACAAAAGGCAAAATAGAGAGAATGACACCTTGCTATGGTAATTGCTAGATTAAAACATGTAAGTACAATTAGAATTATGTAGGAAATTACAACTAGAAAAACAAGTAGAAACTATTTACAAAAATATTCAAAATTAACACATTGCTGACCGGCAACTTTTCCTGAAAATTGCCCCATGTACCCAGCTATTGTTTTGGAAGCGGATGTGGAAGTAATACAATATAAATAAATTTTGAAAATATTTTATTTTTATCGTCGTATGATAAAAAGTAAAGTAATAACCTACGTGTAATGTTACACCACAAGTGTAATGTTACACCACAAATATATGGGGTTTCGTAAAGTTATAATAAATTGGTACAGAATTAAATAGTGAAACTTGAAAAGTAAGGAAAATTACGCCCACTTTTTAAAATATTCAACACGAGATCACTGCTAACGAAAACACGAGTTAACTCGTGACCGGTCACCAACGTTTGGCCACGAAAACACGAGTTAACTCATGACCGGTCAGCAATGTGTTTAGAAAGTAAATTGACCATAAACACAAGTTAAATACAATTAAACATAATAATAAATTATAAACGAGACAATTCATATGTGATTACAAATAGTTTAATGATCTGTTCTGTTCAGTTCGGTTTAGCTGTGCTCCTGAGGCCAAATACTGGCCCTTTTCCCATTCATTATAAAATACCCATAATGGACATACATAATACTGTTGTATTACTGGTTCAAATGAACCTGAAAATTAAAAAGAAAACATATCATGGGTGATATGTCAGCTTGATGGAAATGCTGCATTCTAGGTCTTTTGAGTTGGAAGCAGGGAGAGAAGCAGTAAAGCTACTTGCTCTTCTTTGAGTAGTTCCTTAAAAAGCTTATGATTCTCGGAGCATTATTGAGGGCATCAAATAGTTTAATTATGGTAGAAATCACATAAATCTCGGTGCGCTGCCGCGAAGCGGCATTAACCCATACCTGCCAACTTTTAATCCCTTCCATTACCATTTTCCCCAGTGGTATTAAAATGGAATCAAAACTTCAATTTTAAGCAAACAAATACGTTGTATTTGAGAAAACTTGAGTTAACAACCATGATAGTTACGCATATTAATATATGTGATTAATTTTTGTAAGAATAATGGTGATAAAAATCATCTAAAAATTAAGTTTATAAAAGAAAAAATAGTATATACTTACTACCACTTTAAATATAAAAATAAAATCTTCCGGAAAATCCGTAAGAATTGGCAGGTGTGTTAACCGATTCATCTGTAGTAATAAATCGATGATGAGGAGTGGTGAGGAGGAATGGAGATAGGATAATAGTTTATTCTAGTGTTTAGATTTTATTGGGCACCTGGGCCAAAGAACTTATACGCTTCGCGTAAAGAAGGGAAACTTCCTATACTATCAATGTTAAGTCGTAAGGATCTTTCCCCCAACTTGGGCGCTGAAGGTGTAATGCAGGAAAGCCACCGTTAAGAGCGATTGAAGAACGGGCGCAGATCATTTGATTTTCACCCAATGCACTCATATTTTCTCCGTTAATTATGATCGGATTCGATTTTGCTTTTAAATTTTTTTCAGTTCACAAATTTAGCAGGATTATAATTTATTTTAAAGTAGTAAATATTTATTTAACAAAAGTAATTTATATTAAAAAATAAAAATTCATTAAAACTTTAAAAAATTGAGTAAAATTTATTTCCCCTTG